CCCCCCCCCCCCCTTCAGCCACGAGTTGAAAGTGCTCATGAAGAAAGCAATACACCTGAATCGGAACTTGCAGTACTCCTGCCATTCTAAGCCTGAGACGCCTAATGGAGCTCACTAGCTGTGCAGTTAACATTTCTGGCATTTTAGACCAATCTGTTCCCCTTAGGGTGACCAGATGTCCCGATTTTATAGGGACAGTCCCGGTTTTGGGGTCTTTTTCTTATATAGGATCCTATTACCCCCCACCCCCTGTGCCGATTTTTCACACTTGCTGTCTGGTCACCCTAGTTCCCCTGTTGTTAAAGTGAACGCTGATGAGGAAGGCTGATTAGGTCATGCAATGCACGCCCTCCTCGACGCTGCTCATCCCCATTAAGACATAGGTGAGCAAGCCACACAGCTAGGATCCGGCACCTCGGTAGCCACGTGCAGTGCGTCATTCTGACACCCCATCTTCCGTACTGCCCAGTGTTGCGGCCATACTGACAGTCTCTTTCGCTGCCGGAGATCCGGGCCGCAGGAGCGAAGGGGGGGGGGAGCCCCTTAATCCATGTCTGAGGGGACGGTCAGTGAACTGATGGGGGGGGATGGAGAGGGAGGGAATTTGGACACAAACATCGTCAGCTCCGGCCCGCGTTCGGGGCCCGCTCCCGCGCTGCGGGGACGGATCCGCGGGGGTGTGGCCGGGAACCCCAGGCGGGAGCTACGCACAGGCAGAGGCCGCCTGTCCCAAACGCGGGGGCGGCGGCGGTAAGGCCATTGCTGGGGCCAGGCAGGGCGGCGCCTCTCGTGGGGCGCGGGCACAGCCCGGCTGAGGCGGGGCGGCCGCTCCCGGGGGCGGAGAAGCGGGGGCGGTCCCGGCGTGGTAACGGCGGGCAGGAGGCGCGATGCCAGGGACGGGCGCTGAGAGGGGACTTGGCGGGGCGGCCGTTCCCCGGACCAGGCAGGCAGTTGGGGGTTGCTGGACTCACCCAATCGCAGCCCGGCTCAGGGAGCGGGAAGTCCCCCCCCCCTGCTCCCAACTCCCTCCGCCCGCACACACCTGGCTCGCTTAGCCCGAAGGGGAAATGACGTGACACGCACAGTCTCGTTCTCACACACCAATTATCGGGCACAACAGCAGCCCCCTTCGCCTCGACCCCCGGCATAACAGCGCGGAAACGGATCACGTGAGTGAAGCATCCTCAAGGAGCCAATCGCCGCCTCCCAATATCAGACCAGGTAGCCAACCGCTGCTCGTCGCAGAGACCAGCCAAAGAATCATCTGAGCCCCATCAGGCAGCCAATCACCGCTTCCAAACGCAACAGCCAATCAGTGGTAGCCATCCTCAGCTTTGCAGCCAATCACTGCAGTCAAGCCGGAGAGACCCTCATTGCCCATCCCCGGAAATCCAACCACATCCTGGCATGCCCGGCCCGCCAACCAATCAGAGCCGCAGAGCAGCACGCTGGGGGTAGGCCCCGCCCCCTGGGTTCCTGAGGGGGCCGGGGGCCCTAGGCAGATAGCTCCGAGCCCCTTTCCCTCGCTAGCCATAGGGGTGGGGCGCTGAGGCCCCCAGCAGCCGCCCCCTCGGGCTCGCTCCTTCCTCCGCTCACGTTCCCCGCCCCCGGGATTCCCCTCGCGGCCTCTCCCGCCCCCCATGCGGGGCCGGTATAAAGCGGGCGGAGCGCAGGCGGCGCTGCTCATAGTCACTATGCTGAGGCTGCCGGGGCTGCTCCTGCTGCTCAGCCTGGGCAGCGTCTGCTGCCCTCCGGGGGCCCTCTCCGCCCTGCCCCTGGCCTCCCGGCGGGGCCCCCCGGGGAGAGCTCAGCCCCGCCCCACCGCCCTCTACCAGACCCGCTACTTCCCCCAGAAGGTAAGCGCCTCCGCTCGCCCCGCCGGAGCCAGCCCCGGCACCTCCGGCGTGAGTGTCTTGGGGGGGTCCCCTGTGCTGGGCCCAGCCTCTTCGGCCACCTCCCCCAGACCCCTCCCCAGCGTGAGTGTCTGGGGGAGCTTCCTACTGAGCAACCCCCTTCCCAGGAGGAGGTGTGTCTGTGGGGCTAGCTCAGACCCCCTTCCCCAACATCTTTGGGGTATGACATAGCTCTGGGGGCTTACCCGCATCCCATACCTGGGGGCTGCCCACAGCTGTCTGGGTAGGGCCCCTCTTCCTGTTGATCAGCACCCACTCCCTGGCACGAGGGTCTGATGTCATCTGCCCCCTTCTCATGGTGTGTCTGTTAAGGGCCCTCTTCTCTCTTATGTTTCTGAGGCTGTGTCTAACCTGGACCAAGCGAGGCCTCAGGCAGTTGTGAAAGGGCCTTTGAGAGTATCTCTACACTACAATTAGACACCTGCAGCTGGCCCATGCCAGCTGACTCAGGCTCACGGGGCTTGGGCTCAGGGGCTGTTTGATTGCCGTGTAGCTGTGCCTCTAAACATCTGCATTGCAATTAAACAGCCCTTTAGCCCAAGCTCTCTGAGCTCCAGTCAGCTGGCATGGACCTGCCACAGATTTTTAACTGCAGTGTAGACATACCCTAAGTGTCTTGTTGAAATACAGCTCAGATAGCTTTACTTAAAGTGGAAACTCCTTGAGGCAGGGACCATCTTTTTGTTCTGCGTTTGTGAAGTTCCTCGCATGGTGGGATACTGGTCTCTGACTAATGGTACTAGATGCTGAGGTAATACAAACAATAACATAGTAGTGGTGCATAATCCACTGTGAGATTTTACCAGACCTTTAAAAGAAATCCCACGTGGAGGTGTCTGCTTAGAATTTAGGGGCACGTTTGTATCTATCTGTAGCAGGGGATTTTTTTTCCCCTTTAAACTTCAGAACAGGAAATCATCAGTTACATACTATTGGCCTGTGGGATCCTGCAGTCTTGTTACAAATGGAAAAACTCTCTTACGAAATGCTGGATAATGCTATTCTCAATGGAATTTGTTCTAATTTCCTAGCATTGTGCAATTGGACATAAAGCATCTGAACGATAATCCTATTTGAGTACAGGCTCCCTCCCTTTCCACGTATAAAGCATTATCTCTGAATGCTTAATATCTAAAACTAATACAAATTTGGAAAAACATATTTCATTTCTGATGAATAGTTTAATATTACTTTTCCGTTGAGGGTAATGTTGTCCAGCCAGTAGACTCTTGCTGGGTAAAACAGGTTGCTATAAATTGCTCTGTTTTTTCCTCTTGATTATTCAGAGGATGGTGATTGGCAATGAATTAGTCATGTCCCCTGTAAAGTCTCCTGGGGTGCTGCATAATTTTATTGTCACCCCTCTACATGACTGCAAGACTGCTGTACAAGAGTGAAACAGTGCAGTGATGCTAGTACGGTGCTTGAGGATTGGAAAACTTTACACACCTATTAGCAAGAGGAAGTCAATATGCAAAATAAGGCCACCAATGAAGTCCAGGGGCAATGCTCTGTGCAGGTGTCTAGGCCACTTCCTCTCTCAGCTATTGAGATTCTTGCCAAACTTTTGTGCTTGAGCGATGCCCAATCGTATTGACCTCTGGGTAGGTATCTAATACATTTGAAATCACTTGACTGTCGACTGCTGGAAGGGAAAGGATCTCTCTCCCCCTCCCCTTCAACACCAGTGTCCTAATTCCCTAGGAGGTAGGAAGTTAAACTGGAGAGGAAGTCCACAGGATGGTCAGACAACATGCCCTCTGCACCTCGTGTATGAACACATGACCTTACTGGGATGCTAGCACTGGACTGGAGTCCTCTCTCTCATGTTAGAGACTTAGGAGGTAGGAGGGGAATGGGTTTAGTAAGGACCCCAGGTAGTAGTACTGCTTTCCTATGGATCATAATTCGACAGACCCTGGGGACTCTCCTCTACCAACTATCTGTCCACATAAGGGGGCACTTCCCACCCTTCAAAAAGACTCTCCTTACAGCCTCTTCCAATCACATACATGCAGATTTTTTTTAAAATCTGGACGGGGAATTTCAGCTTTCTACCTGCTAATTAAAAGTCCCACAGCTCTAACCCCTAACAACATGGAAGCTTTGCTAACCCTCCAATAGGCTTAATCATGTGGAGGAACAGTCAGACTGATTATTTTGCTAGTGTAGCAATGAGGGCAAACAGGGATGTGGTGCATCGTTCATTACCATGATACTACTGTTGAGTGCTGGTGCCCAACTAACTGAGATGAATGCACAGCAATCTCATGATACTGGTGCTGAGCATGAGTATCGTTGTGTTGCCGGTCTTGATACTTAATTAAAATGAAAAACATTAGAAATTTCATTGTACGCAGTGTTGTTGTGGCTGTGTTAGTCCCAGGATACTAGAGAGACAAGTGAGGTAATATTTTTTTACTAGACCAACGTCTACTGGTGAGAGAGAAAAGCTTTCATGCTTACACAGACCTCTTTTTTTTAAGCCTCTCGTACTACACCAGTGTCCTGATCCCATAGGAAGATAAACAGGAGGACGTCCAGGCGACATGCCTTTCCTAGCCAATGCTAAAGAGCAACTCTGTAACCTCGAAAGCTTTTGTCTCTGTCGCCAACAAAAGTTGGTCTGATGAAAAATATTACCTCACCCACCTTCTCATTAGAAACTTCGGGCAATTAAAGCTTTAGGTGGTATATGCTCTGATGGTTGGAACAGGAAGTACTAGGAGCCAGGAATCCTGGATTCTGTTCCCTGTTCTGCTACTGACTCTGGCTATGTCTATACCAGCTCTTATGTTGGAGTAACTTATGTCGCTTGAGGAGAGAAGGTGGTTTATTCGCACTCCTGAGCAACATAAGCTGTAGTATAGACATAGCCTATGTTTATGTCTACACTAGCATGTTGGTCGGTAAAACTTTTGTTGCGCAGGAGTGTGAAAAAAAGAGAAACGCTTTCCTGCCGATGCAGCTACCGCCGCTCGTTGCAGTGCGTTAATTATGCAGGCAAGAGAGTGGCTATACGGGAGACCTTACAGCAGTACAGATGCAGTGGCACAACTTTGCTGCTGTAAGGTCTGTAGTGTAGACATAACCATGGTTCGGTGGGTGAAGCACTGGCTCGGGGAGGCTAGCCCCTGCCACGGCCCACCCCTTCTGCTTGAGGCCCCAAGCCCAAATTCTACCCCCTGCAGCTTCCCCCTCCACCCCGCAGCCCCAGAGCGCCGGGTGGCATGTGCTCCCCCCCCCACCCCAGAGCATCGTGTTTGTGGCCCCCCCCAGGCGTGCATGTGGCCCTCCTCCTCTCCCGCCCCAGCCCTGGAGCATTGGGCGGTGCAGCCCCTGTGCCGGGGCCCCCTCAGCACTGGGCAACCCTAGCTACCCCAAGTCCCAGCTGCTCTAGCCCCAGCCCCAGCAGGACCTTCCTGGAAGTGTTGCAGCCTGCCTGGGCTGGGGCCAACTAGCTGGGGGGGGGGGCACTCTGGACTGAGTGTGGGTGGGGCCACCGGGGGGGTTGGGGGGGGTACAGCCTTCCCCTGCCTATTAGATATGCCGCCCATGGACATAACCTTTGTGACGTTGTGCAGTCTATATGGTTTTATAAAAACTTGATAAGTCAATATAATGTAACTGGGATAGTTTTAGAGAAAATATGGTAATAAGTGAATATAACGTAACTGGGATATGCTTCATGCAAAAGGTCTCTTGTAAGGTATCATTACAAAGCTTATAATCTACTGAGTATGATCATCTGATTTGTATAAATGTACCACTCTTGTATCTAAAACTAGAAATATAAAATGTAACTCTGAGGGCCTATTGTAATTATGTAAAGTGTGGGCCATTAATGATGGTTTGGAATCTTGATGACTCCCATTAACCAGGACCATTGTCTGCAGATGGTTGTGTTTACCTGTTAGTCTTCCTGTATATGTGTGTGCTGGCAAGTGGGCAATGAAGTCTTGCAGTGACATGTGATCATGTCACCTGAACTGGAATCCATCTTTAACCTGGTGCTTTTCCAGTGAGGGGGGGTGGAAACCCAGAAGGACAAAGGGTTCCCGCCTTATGCAAAAGATATATAAAGGGGTGGAAGAGAACAGAGAGAGAGAGGAGCCATCATGAAGAATCCCCTAGCTATCACCTGAGCTGCAACAAGAGCTGTACCAGGGGAAAGAATTGTGCCCAGGCCTGGAAGGTGTCCAGTCTGAGAAAAACTTACTGAAGCATCTCTGAGGGTGAGATTATCTGTATTTAGTTTGATTAGACATAGATTTGCGCATTTTATTTTATTTTGCTTGGTGACTTACTTTGTTCTGTCTGTTACTACTTGGAACCACTTAAATTCTACTGTCTGTATTTAATAAAATCACTTTTTATTTAGTAATTTACTCAGAGTATGTATTAATACCTGGGGGAGCAAACAACTGTGCATATCTCTCTTTCAGTGTTATAGAGGGCGAACAATTTATGAGTTTACTCTGTATAAGCTTTATGCAGGGTAAAACGGATTTATCTGGGTTTAGACCCCATTGGGAGTTGGGCATCTGAGTGCTAAAGACAAGCACAGTACTATGAGCTGTTTTCAGGTAAACTTGCAGCTTTGGGACAAGTGATTCAGACCCTGGGTCTCTGTTGGAGCCAGACAGGAGTGTCTGACTCAGCAAGACAGGGTGCTGGAGTCCTGAGCTGGCAGGGAAAACAGGAGCAGAGGTAGTCTTTGCACATTAGGTGGCAGCTCCCAAGGGGGTTTCTGTGATCCAACCCGTCACAACCTTAGTCTCCTTTCCCCACACACAAGTCCCCCTCAGCTGTCCCCCCCCTCCGTTCCTCCCTATGACTGGAGGGGAGTTAATGGGCCACTTCACCTTGAATGGTCCTTTAAATATGTGTTAAGTATGTATCAGTGACACTCTGAGACCTTGGGTATGTCTTCACTACCCGCC